AGTAACACCTCATCTGGAATATGCAGTTCAATTTTGGGCACCAATTCACAGAAAGAACATTGGGGAACTGGAGAAAGTACAGAGAAGGGCAACCAAACTGATGAGGCATGGAGGAGATCAGCTATGAGGAAAGATTAGAGGTCTGAATTTATTCTCTCTTGAGAAGAGGAGATTAAGGGGGGATATGATCTCCATGTATAATACATAAGGGGGGATATGATCTCCATGCATAATACATAAGGGGGGATATGATCTCCATGTATAATACATAAGGGGGGATATGATCTCATGTATAATACATAAGGGGGATATGATCTCCATGTATAATACATAAGGGGGGATATGATCTCATGTATAATACATAAGGGGGATATGATCTCATGTATAATACATAAGGGGGATATGATCTCCATGTATAATACATAAGGGGGGATATGATCAACATGTATAATACATAAGGGGGGATATGATCTCCATGTATAATACATAAGGGGGGATATGATCTCCATGTATAATACATAAGGGGGATATGATCTCCATGTATAATACATAAGGGGGATATGATCTCCATGTATAATACATAAGGGGGATATGATCTCCATGTATAATACATAAGGGGGGGATATGATCTCCATGTATAATACATAAGGGGGATATGATCTCCATGTATAATACATAAGGGGGGTATGATCACCATGTATAAATACATAAGGGGGGGATATGATCTCCATGTATAATACATAAGGGGGGGATATGATCTCCATGTATAATACATAAGGGGGGATATGATCTCCATGTATAATACATAAGGGGGGATATGATCTCCATGTATAATACATAAGGGGGGATATGATCTCCATGTATAATACATAAGGGGGGGATATGATCTCCATGTATAAATACACCAGTGGTTCATATAGTGAACTCGGTGTAGAGTTATTCACCCTGAGGTCATCACAAAGGACAAGGGGGCACTCTTTACACCTGGAGGAAAAGAAATTTAATCTCAAAATACGGAAAGGTTTCTTCACAGTAAGAGCTGTGAAAATATGGAATAGACTCCCTCAAGAGTTGGGCTGGCCAGCTCAGTGGATTGCTTTAAAAAAAAAGGCCTGGATTCCTTCTTGGATACACAGAATATAACTGAATACTAACATTTTTAGGTAAGGTTGATCCAGGGAATATCCGATTGGCTCTCAGGGGATCAGGAAGGAATTTTTTCCCCTGCAGGAGAAAATTGGATTTTTTTGCCTTCCTCTGGATCAACTGTGGGTGTAGGATTATAATTTTTTTTTTTTTTAATGGCTGAACTGGATGGACTTTTGTCTTTTTTTCAGCCAGACTAACTATGTAACTAACTATGTAACTATGTAACCATCCTGGTTGGGCTGATCTCCCCAGAGAGAGCAGCGGCCGGAGGCATACACGACGGAGGAGGTCTCCCTAGGACAGACTGGTCTTGTACACCATGTTCCTCTGTGTGTTTCTGGGTGTGATTGTGTTATTACACACTGCTACCTTCTACCCAGGCCCATCCCGGGCCTACTGAGTTTCCAGTTTACTCTACGCAGGGTGACGGGTAGTTGAGGGGCTCCAGGTCAACTTTTGCATTGGGGCCCAGAGGTTTCAAGCTACATCTCTGATCATGGGCATCAGTAAAAGCGAGTATTAACTGTCTCTCTTTACAGGTAACGGAGTTTTTAAACTTTTGCATTGGGGCCCAGAAGTTTCAAGCTACATCTCTGACCATGGGCATCAGTAAAGTCGAGTATTAACTGTCTCTCTTTACAGGTAATAGAGTTTTTAAATTTTTACATTGGGGTCCACAAGTTTCAAGCTTTTTGCATTGGGGCCCACAAGTTTCAAGCTTTTTACATTGGGAACCACAAGTTTCAAGCTACACCTCTGACCATGGGCATGAGTAAAAGCGAGTATTAACTGTCTCTCTTTACAGGTAACAGAGTTTTTAAACTTTTGCATTGAGGCCCACAAGTTTCAAGCTACACCTCTGACCATGGGCATCAGTAAAGGCGAGTATTAACTGTCTCTCTTTACAGGTAATAGAGTTTTTAAATTTTTACATTGGGGCCCAGAAGTTTCAAGCTTTTTGCATTGGGGCCACACAAGTTTCAAGCTACACCTCTGACCATGGGCATCAGTAAAGGTGAGTATTAACTACCGCTCTTTACAAGTAATAGAGTTTTTAAAGCAGAAAATTTGTGACAAGGTCACGCAAATAACATAGTGATTGGTTGAGGGAGGAAGGAACAAAGGGAATATGAGGGGTTATGGCCCAAAGTCTTGCTTTATGCAAACTGAATTTTATAAATGTATGTGCTATTAGAAATAAAGGCAAAAAAAAGCTCATGAAAATAATATAACATATGTTTTTTGTCCCTTTAAATAAGAACACATGTATAATTTGTATAACTTTAAATGGCTAGTCGGGCGACGTTAACAATTAACTGTGACAGACTTTAAGTCAATTTGCACAGTTTAGAAAACAGGGCTCAAGATGTTTGGGAATTATTTGTGTATATTCCAAGTGAATCTGATACAGGTTTATTTCAGTAACAAAAGATCCCTGAGTCTGATACACAGCTGTGTTCTGGCCCGGGAGTTTTCAGTTACATCCCCAAAAGCTGCAATTTAACCTTCATTAGGCTCAGACACCATTGTTTTCTGAACATGTGGTGATGTCCTAAGTGACCACAACTAAGCTGAGAACTTGTCAGATGGAGCCTAAGCTGGCCCTTAATGGCTCCTCAGATTGCACCATGACTAAGAGGAATCCCTATGGCACTTTCCTGACAAAGTTCCTAAGAATCACATGGAAACATCGTCTGAGGGCCAAACATCGAGTCAACAGTCAAAACCATCATTATGTCATCTAGGGTTACTGTTTTCTGGGAAGTGAGCTTTAAATTGTATAACCACTCACAGACCATCAACTGGGCGGCAGCCTCACCAAAGTGTGAACGTTTCCTGAGAAGGATTAGGAACAGGGACTATTATGTTTGGATTGAACACAACACGTCACAGGATCTAGAACTCTGTGATATATAGCGAGGAGCCGTTGGAGACAGTCTAGCTAGAAATCCACCAGTCTGCCTAAATCGGCTACTGAGAGCTGGATTACGGGAACTTTTCCTAGATCTCACACTCCAAGACCACACATTTCAAAATAGGACTTTAGTCATGACAGAATCATTAGTAATCTTATATAATATTATTTCATATTTGTTTTTAACATGAGTTCTAGAAGTCCTTGCTTTGAAGTTTAAAGCCGAACTCCAGGAGAAGCAAATATTGTCTGAATACAAAAGGTGTGTATTACTTGAAACTTGGGGGTCTATTTAAAAAAAAAATCATTGGATGAGCCTGGGTTCACACTGATGCGGTACGGAATTTGCAGCGTTTTCTGTGCGAATTCCTCACCGCATCAGAATTGCACCTCGTTCATGCGATCCACTGAGGGTGTGTATGTTAACAACACCCCGAAAGCGGTCCGCAAAATGCAGTGCGATGTGCAGAATCGGATCGCATAGGTGTAAATACCCATGTGATCTGATTCTAGTGCGGACCCAAAAAAGGGTCCTGCACATTTTTGGTGTGGGTGCGGTGTGATTAGAGCTATACAAAATGTACGGCTCCAATTGCACCGCACACAAATCGCATATGATTTGTACAAGAATGCGGTGCGTTTCCTGTGCGAATCACATGCGATATACTGCCCCACATATATGTGAACCCGGGCTGAAAGTCACAAACATTCGCTCAGCCCTCATGATTTCTTACTGCATTACCCACTTAAGGACTTCCCCCAATGTACTGCAGACTGCGCTGCGTAAATTGACGGCGCTATGTAAGTACCTGTAATAAATAAATAAATCTCGAGATGGGCACGGAAACATTTAATGATTTCATTTTCATCATATTCCTTAAGTTAAAAAGATTCATTTTCGGAATTCGATTCATATATTCGGATTCATTTCGTATACTCATTTTGTATATTCATTTGATATATTTGTTGTTCTGAATTGATTCTTATTTTCGGAAGTTATTTTGGAAGATTGCCTATATTCATTTTAAAGCGATGTTAAACTGCAGCTTAAAAAAAAAAAACTCTGCAAAGTAATGTCATAATGCGCTAGTATGCATCAGTCCTCCTTCTGGGTTCGTGAGCTCTGGCTGTCTGACTGGCCAAACCGTGATGATGTCACTCCCACGCATGCGCACAGGAGTCCCGAGCCATGGCACAGTGCTCTGAAAGAATGGCGTGGGTATGCTGTTCCTTCAGAACGAATATTTCCTAAACAGTGCACATTTAGAAGATACCCATTTTACCTACATGTAAGCTTTACCTGTAGGTAGAAGTATAAAAAAGAGTTTACTACCACTTTAGCCACTTCCCGTCTGCCCTATAGCAGATATACTGCTACAGGGTGGCATAGGTGCACAAATTCATGTATATATATGCGATTTTGCATTTCCTGGTAGGGGGCACACACAAGGCACGTGCACCCTACCCGTGCCGCCGTTCATGGCTATGGCTGTCAATCACTGGGTCCCGCCTGTTGATTACTCGCCGGAGCCTGGTGATTGCCAAGCATCTCCGACGGGGAGGAGAACCGTTAGTAAACAGTTCTCCTCCCTGTCAGCTCGTGGACACTGCTTTGCATGGCTCTGCACAGCCATACAAAGCAGTGTGCTTACAGTGAAGCACTAACACAGCCCCATAGTAAAACAGCACACTGTTAACCCTTTGATTGCCCCTCATGTTAACCCCTTCCTGCCCAGTGCCATTAGTATAGTTAGCATCTCCGACGGGGAGGAGAACCGTTAGTAAATAGTTCTCCTTCCTGTCAGCTCGTGCACACTGCTTTGCATGGCTCTGCACAGCACAGCCACACAAAGCAGTGTGCTTGCAGGGAAGCACTAACACAGCCCCCATAGTAAAACAGCACATTGTTAACCCTTTGATTGCCCTTCATGTTAACCCCTTCCTGCCCAGTGCCATTAGTATAGTGTCAGTGCTTTTTATTAGCACTGATCACTGTGTTGGTGTCACTGAGGATGTCAGTGACACCAAGTCAGCCCCCCCCCCCCAGTGTCAAAATGCCCGACGCAGTCCCGCTATAAGTCGCTGATTGCCGCCATTACTAGTAACAAAAAATCCCAGTATATATACTTTTGTTTGTAAACGCATTAAACCAATTAATTTACACGTACAGTATTGGGATTTATTTTAGCAAAGACATAGAGCAGAATACATTTTGGCCTAAATTTATGACAAAATTTGATGTTTACATCTTTTTACTGGATATGTTTAATAGCAAAAAGTCAAAAATATTGTTTTTTTCTCAAAATTATCGACCTTTTTTTTAATAGCGCAAAAAATAAAAAATGCACAGGCGATCAAATACCACCAAAAGAAAGCTCAAGTTGTGGGGCAAAAAGGAGGCACATTTGATTTGGGTACAGTGTTGCATGACCGCGCAATTGTCAGTTAAAATAAGCAGCGCCATGACACAAAAAATGTCCTGGTCAGGAAGGGGGGAATCCTCTGGAGGGCAAGTGGTTATTAATTTGTTATTTCGGGAGATTGCTTATGCACTCTGAGTCTCTGCTAGTCCAACCCACAAAGGGAAATGAAATGAGCTGATTGGACAATTTTGACTGGAGCAACGAAAGTAATGAATGGAACATAAATAATTGTTAAATGTTATGATTCAGAGATTCTGATGGATCCACCTCCATCCAATCCACACACAATACGTAGGATTCATCTAATTTCACTTTTATATCTTCCTGTATTTATTGCAATGTTTCCATTTCACATGTAGTGCATTTCTTATAATAATGAAAAATGTTAATGCAAGAAGAATTGGCTGATTATCCAAGTCAAAGACTCCTGAGCCGCTCTCATCTGAATAAAATAAACAAAAAACTTTTTGTCAGAATTTCAATTTTGTAACGAATCGCACATGTCTGCTTGTATCCACCTCCTCCTCTAGTTTTCTGCAGGTAGACTCCCTCACAGTCTATGAAGTGTGATGGTATCACTGCTACTTTTACAAGGTAATAACTGTGTTTGCAAAGGCATTTGGTGCACACAAAGGAGATTTATATCCTTTGTGGCTATTGATGAATATATTTAATGTGTTACTAAACCCGGACCCTGCATTCACTATATCTGCTCTCCCACACTACACACAACATGGAGATGTAATTACTTTAGTAAACATAAACTGCAAAATACATTTTCTTATCAGCAGTTAGAGCAGTCTTGTGACTTATATCAGCATCCAGCACAGCACTGGTTAAAGCTTGTAGGAGGAGTTTTCATTCTCCCCTGATTGTCCTATGAGGCTGCATAACCCCTGACCTCTGTCTGGGCAATGCTGATTGGCCTTGTGCTGATGACATGCACTCTCCCAAGAAAAAAAAAAAACTCTCTAGCAATACACACCAAACTGAGCATGTTCTGAGTGTCTCCTAGGGCTCTTGATGGATTGAGGACTGTGGAAAAAGGGGAGGATCAGAGAAGACGAATCAAACAGCCTTTTTATGCAATGCAGAGGATTAACCCCTTAGGTTCCACAGTGAGTATAACAAGCATGCTTTACTGCATATACAGACTGATTTTACTGGTGTGGGTTTAGTAACACAAGTCCCGGGGCACACTAGGTGCGACTTGGCATGCAATTTGCACACCATATGACTTTCAAATCCCATGCCAAGTCGCACCATATTGTTTGCAATCGCAATGGTCATATCAGTGCAGTTCTGACTTGGTCGGAGCTACACCGATTTCTAAAGTAGTACATGCACAGCGTTTGGTGCGATTTGCATAGAAAACTGTGGCAGATGTCTTAAAATCGCACCTCAAATCGGCATGACATCCGACTTCACTGTGAGTCGCACTATTTCAAAGTCGGGATTGGTGTGATCGGGGTGTAAGTGGCCGGTCACACCGGTGTGACTTCAGGTGAGATTTGATCACACCTGAAATCACATCTAATGTCAGTGTCTTAATGTGCGATTCGCTGCAGTAGTTCTTGCAGTACTTTTTCTGCAGTTTTGTTGCGATTTCACATATGCATGAAATCATTGAAAATAAAGACTTACACCCCGGTTACCCCGGACTTACAGCGAAGTCGCACAATTTCAAAGTCGGGTAAGATGCCGATTTCAGGTGCAATTTGCAAGACATCTGACACAGATGTCTATGCAAATCGCACGAAAAGTAGTGCATGCACTACTTTAGAAATCGGTGCGGCTCCGATCAAGTTGGAACCGCATTGATATGACCGCTCTAATTGCAGACAGTAGGATGCGACTTGGCATGCGATTTGCAAGTCGCATATCATGAGAATCGCATGCCAAGTTGCACCTGATGTGACCGGGGTGTTAGCAATAATGTCTTCAGAAATCACATCTGAAATTGCACACAAAATGCAAGATTTTAAATCGCAGAGGTGTGACTGGTGACTTAATGAATATTTTTGTGCCAGAAACTCTAAGATGAACCCGTGAGTGCTAGACTCCTGCAAGACAAAACAGCACATAGACTTCCCCTACAGCACATACGTAGCACCCCGACTCCCCACCAGGAGCGAAGAAAACTCCTGGGAAAGGCATGTGTCCTCAGAATTGTCTCTTGTACAGTGCTATACACTCCCCGTGTACCATTGCTGATTGGTCCGGCACTGTCAGATGGAGTGAGCCCCATGCGTCTGCATATTCGGGATTATCAGGTGGTTCCTCTGACTCCTGGCTGCTGAATGGAGCAGTTGGGGAGTATAGGAAGACTGGAGATTAACACAATCAGGTTGCTTTGCCCTGAGTAAGCACATATTTGTTTTACCAGTGCATTCACTCCTGTGCGTGGGCATTCCGTGCGTTTCTGTAACACACATTTTTAAATTTTTTAACATGCACCTACTTCCAAACATAAAAAGCCAAAACCCAGAGTAAATTCACTATACAAGTTTATTTAGGTATGTGTAATAATCCCACGAGCAACCAAAAAAAAAAAAAAAAAAAAAACAACACTCCAATTAAAGTCGCTTACACCCTTTACACATTCACTAAGGGGGGGTATGATCTCCATGTATAATACATAAGGGGGGGATATGATCTCCATGTATAATACATAAGGGGGGGATATGATCTCCATGCATAATACATAAGGGGGATATGATCACCATGTATAATACATAAGGGGGGTATGATCTCCATGTATAATACATAAGGGGGATATGATCTCCATGTATAATACATAAGGGGGGATATGATCTCCATGTATAAGGGGGGAATACATAATAGGGGGGATATGATCTCCATGTATAATACATAAGGGGGGATATGATCTCCATGTATAATACATAAGGGGGGATATGATCTCCATGTATAATACATAAGGGGGATATGATCTCCATGTATAATACATATGGGGGGATATGATCACCATGTATAATACATATGGGGGGATATGATCACCATGTATAATACATAAGGGGGGATATGATCACCATGTATAATACATAAGGGGGGATATGATCTCCATGTATAATACATAAGGGGGGATATGATCTCCATGTATAATACATATGGGGGGGATATGATCACCATGTATAATACATAAGGGGGGATATGATCACCATGTATAATACATAAGGGGGATATGATCTCCATGTATAATACATAAGGGGGGATATGATCTCCATGTATAATACGTAAGGGGGGTATGATCTCCATGTATAATACATAAGGGGGGGATATGATCTCCATGTATAATACATAAGGGGGATATGATCTCCATGTATAATACATAAGGGGGATATGATCTCCATGTATAATACATAAGGGGGATATGATCTCCATGTATAATACATAGGGGGGGATATGATCACCATGTATAATACATAAGGGGGGATATGATCACCATGTATAATACATAAGGGGGGGATATGATCTCCATGTATAATACATAAGGGGGGATATGATCTCCATGTATAATACATAAGGGGGATATGATCTCCATGTATAATACATAAGGGGGATATGATCTCCATGTATAATACATAAGGGGGATATGATCTCCATGTATAATACATAAAGGGGGATATGATCTCCATGTATATAATACATAAGGGGGATATGATCACCATGTATAATACATAAGGGGGGGTATGATCTCCATGTATAATACATAAGGGGGGATATGATCTCCATGAATAACATGTGAGTGACATTTTATCTAATTTTAAATAAAGTGTTATAAACAATAAACCACTATTTCTGTCTATTCCATTTTTTTTAACGGACCATTTTAAAGAAGAGGAGATACAAGATTCTGCGTTTGCTGCGGGAGAAGGAGAACCACCTGGGCAGTCTTCATTCCATAAGTCCCACTGAGAGGACACAAGTGCTGTATGACCAAAGCATTATATAATGTGAGGTCAAAAAGCTCCAAATGAGAGCACAATGTGGGTGTTGGTGGAGGAACATTGGTTTATGTTTTATGAAGATGTGAAATGGTGAAAGAGTGAAGGAGCATCAAGAGAGATCCTATTATATATAGGACATTGTTCACATATATATATTTTTTGTATATGGGACTTTTCTTTTTTTGTTTATAATGTTTTTTCTGAATATTTCTGAACACTTATGTTTGTGATTAGGTTTTCAAGAGATGTCTATGAGTAGGAAAGCGCTGCACTAATATGTTTATTTCACAAGTTTATATCACACGGGCGTCCCGTTGTTTCCATCAGTTCAGTCACATTTTTTCCAAGAAAAAACAGATTAGTTCCCATTAGTTTTTCATCAGTTTACGTCACTTTTTCATCTGTTTTCATCCGTTCCATTTTTTCTTAACGGAAGAAAAATAGGGTTTTCTTCCGTTCCAAAAAATGGGTGTTAACAGATGCGGACATTAACCACTTCCCTGCCACAGTATAGCAGATATACTGCTACACAGCGGCACGGGTGCACAAAATCACATATATATATGTGATGTTACATTTCCGGGAAGGGGGCGCACGCGCCCTACCCGCGCCGCCATTCGCGGCTGTGGATGTCAATCACCGGGTCCTGGCTGGTGATTACATGCCAGTGCCGATAATTACCGACAATCACCGAC